CCTTTCGGTTTAGGGTTGCTTTTCCACACCATTTGAGGCCTGGCAATCCATTGTGTCACCCTTCCCTGCCTGGGCTCTGCCCCTTGGCATCAGAGACGCAGAGTAGAATAGAGCCGCCTCCGAATCCCATTCTCACGTTCGTACCTCGTTCCCTTCGTTCCATCCCACTGATCGTTTATTTCGATTTCAAATCCATCCATCCTTTTCCAGGTGAAAATGGTCAACTACAAGCTGACTTACTTTGATGGACGTGGCGTTGCCGAGACTGCACGTCAGGTAAGCGTTTTATATGCTGTTTCCTTGAATGATTACTTGGTTAGGTGAAGATTTTTGAAACACTTGGTGTGTAGGCATGTGTATGCCTGAGGTGCCCAGTACCACGGTTGAATGGAAATAAGAATTAGTAATCTTTGTACAGGTTTTTCCGCTTAGTATCCTATCTTGGCCAGCCTATTCATTCAAACATCTCATGAGTGCTGCATTCAGAAACCATCAGGGATTCACAGGACTGACGTATTCAGATAAAGTTTCAGTACTTAAATCAGAAAAGATTTACAATTTTCCGTCAATTCAGTTGGTGGCATCCGAGCGTTTTGTAGTAAACTGTCTATTCTTCACATTAAAAGTTTCTATGGGTATAGAGAGAATCCAAAAACAAGTGGGGAGTGTAGTATGGATGCAATTCTTTCCGTTCTAATTTTAGTGTCAGGCCCGAATCGTTGATTCCGGGATGATTCTTAGGTTGTCTCCTGCACGCTGCCTCTTACATAACATTAATTATGCCAGTTGGTTGCCTCCATGAGCAGAACGTCCTTCGAGACAACCTAACCGGTCGTCACTCTTTTTGCCTATATTGTTGTAAAGAGAAACTGTAGTTGGGGAGCGAGGTCACCCTCATCTCTAACACTAGACACTAGAGCGATGTGAGGGATGAGTGACCGTTTTTGCGGGCCTATAATGATGCTTGAAAACGTTTTTCACCAATGACAACATAATTTTTTCAAACGGCTTCAAGAGGGATGGTGAGATGATTACCTAAAGCAGAAGCTGGGATGGAGGAAGGCTCGAGCATTTAGTCGACCACTGATTCTTTTGACAGCCGCCCTCTAGCTCCGCGCTTTCGCGGCTATTCTTGAAGAGGAGGAGTGTCCCGCTATCCCCAGTTCCATATCCACTCGTTGTGAAATATACCGAACCAATGGGTGATGGAAAACTTGGTAGTGGGATATTCTGAAGTCAACTCCTCAAAACTGCTTGGTATTTTTCCACTCAGCCTCTTCGCTGCTAGTCTGGAAAAAAAACCAATACAAGGTACTGGATGTAGGGTAGCGGACCGAGCAGGTCTGCGCAACCACGCTTCAAATTTCCACGTGAAGCCATTAATTGAAATTTCGAGCGTAAAGCGATGGACTAGACCGGCATGTCCCGCCCTTCACACCTGCTGTGCCTCGAAAAAAATTGTTATAGGAGGTGATTGAACGTCCAATGAATCGGTCAGATTTGAAATCGGCGCTCCATCGAGGGGCTGGCGCTGAAGGACACGTTCCAGACGTTCTGATGTCGCAAGACCACTATCCAAAAAAATCGTCGCTCGTTCGCGCAAGTCATTACAAATTCAAACTCTGCTGTCTGGCTGTCTAGAATTTTGCATATGGTGTGGTGAATAGGCTAGCAAACGGTGATTGGATGGGCACGTTGAGTGGCAGGCAGACTACTTTCATCAATCAGTGTTCAACGATGTTCAGTCTGCCTTAGTGAAAATGTGAATGAGGGAGCCACTCGTCTGTGCTCTGCATCTCTAACGTCTGAGGCGAATGTGTCAAGCATGATCAGAAGTCGGTTTTAGCTTGTAATGGTACTGAGAAGCCAATTTCGAGAGTTACCCACACTAAAGGAGTGGAGAAGCGTCAGGTTGGGTGGCTGAGGTTCCTACCTTGAGCAGAAAAGTAATTTAAGAAGAACTGATCCATGAAATACAATCATGCTCAAAAAGCGCAGGCGAAGGTGCAAAAATGCATGTTTCTCCCAACTGCAATTCAACCGTTTCCTTCCTTATTGAAGTTTTGTTGTGTTGTTCTTATCTGAAACCGGAGTTTCTGTTTCCTCGAGTAATGGGGTTTTGCCTTAGCAATATGTTTATTGCGAAAGTGTTAAGAATTCCGGAATAAGTAGATTTTCAGATTTTCGCACTTGCCGACCAGAAGTTCGAAGATAACCGTTTGACCAGGGAAGCGTTCGCTGAAGTCAAACCAAGTGAGTAGTTTTGTGCTTATCGACTGTCTTTTACCAATTCAACTAGCTCATTCTTTCCAGCCCTCCCATTTGGTCAGGTCCCTGTGCTCGAAGTTGATGGCAAGCAGCTGGCACAATCGTTGGCTATCAACCGCTACTTGGCCAAGAAATTCGGTGAGAACCATCAAGAGATCTTTGAATTCTTCGGTGCTTTCTAACATCTCCTTGATGTTGTACATATGTTTGATTCTAAAATTAACGGGATGGGTTTGGAAAGCGTATTCTGCAGACTTCGTCTGAATTAGCTTTACATGCAGCACGGTGCTTTTTCTGCCGGCTCGGAAGATTCATTCACCTGGACTTGAACTTGTTTAAATGAAGTCTCGCTCTCACACTTAATCAGTTCCTTTCTAATACGCTTGATAACTTGGCTTTAAACAATGCTTCTCGCTTGCGTACTTATCCTGCACAGCATCAATCTAATACGGTTGATAACTTGGCTTTAAACAATGCTTCTCGCTTGCGTACTTATCCTGCACAGCATCAACCTATAGTGCACGACTCCTAGGCTTTCAAGAAGAAGATTAAGATTTAAATT